AATGAATCTCACTAAACAAATATTTCAATACCTGTGAGGTTTACCAGACTGTTCTGTTCAGTATTTATCTTCATCTGACTTTTAATTGTTTTTCATCTTCTCGACTCCCCGCAGATTCTCTCACCATGTGCAATCTGTGCTGAGGTTTTTAATCATTTAAAAGGTCTCTCCCTTTTTTTTTTGCATGTTCCTGTCATAATGGTTTTGAAACAGTCGTAATGTTCTTGAGAGACACTGTTTTGTTGTGACAAAGACAACAGGTTTGTTTTGACAAAGAAAACAGACGGTTGATATTTGCGTGAGTTCAAATAACTCGATTTCTGAACTCATTGAACATCAACTCATTTGCATTAATTATTGTAGAACATAATACAAAATAGATTTGTTTTTGAATAGCACTCTAAATGTCCCAGTGTGTCAAAATATTTATTATATGCAAAACCAACGGACGTCAACACAGCTGGAAAATATTTCTCAAAAAATATTTCATATTCAGTTTGCGCACAAGTCTGCACATATGAGAAAAGAAAACTGCTTAAAAGTAAAGATAATCAATTGGAAATATTATAAAAGTTAAAAAGAAGAAATAAACCCCTGATTACTTGAAAAGCTCACAGTCAGGTATATTCCCTGTAATTACTGTGGAGTTTGAATATCTTTTCAGCTTACTGCTTTCTATTGCTGCTGACTCCGCATTGTGAGTGGGAGTGTTTACGTGTGCGTTTCTTCAGGTGTGTGTGTGTGTGTGTGTGTGTGTATGTGTGCATACCCAGGTATTAGAGGACAAAAACACAGTCCTCTCGTCCTCTTAAAGGGGTGGTTCACTGGTTTTTGTCTAGGCTTGATTGTGTTTATGGGGTGCAATCTAACGTGTTAATGCTTCATTTTTTTTTAAACGCATTATTTTTCACATAATTTACCTTTATTCCACACCGCTCTGTCCCTTCTCTGAGAAACGCACTGATCAATTTCCTGCTTTTATGAAGCCCCTCCCTCAGAAATAGGCGATGGGCTCTGATTGGTTAGCTAGCCCAGTGTGTTGTGATTGGCTAAACCGTCTCTAGCTCGTAGGTAGGCCTAAACAAGGTAGGCCTATATTTTTTGTTTGTTGTTGTCTCATACTTTTAGATATGCTGTTATTTGTAAATGCTACTGCTTATGTTAGCTTTTAATACACAGTTTTGTCCTGATTAAAGCTTTAATAGAGTACGGCAACTGCACGCGCGTCCATGTTTAACGCTTCTCATAGCTATGTGAAAATAAGTGTATAATTGGAACAGGTCATTGTTGGAGCTGAGTTGAATGAGAGAGAGAGAGAGAGATGCAGAGCGTGTGCAGAGCAGGGTGACGCGAGGAACAGTATTGAGAACCGCTGCTTTAGAACATTGATTTTGAATCTTGTGAATCCATCAGAATCGTTAGAAGACAGAATCGCGATTCATATATGAATAGATTTTTACGTGCCCCTCTAGTTTTCTCTTCCTCTTCTCTAAAGTAGCACAGCATGGCCTCGCCTCCCCTTGTTGCATGTTCCCGAGGGCGGGGTTTATCTGGGTTTGTGACGTCACATAACTCGTTGTAATCCCTACCAGCCGTTTTTGTAGGCATTAAACTGCCAGAATTTTAAAGGACGATATCTCCGTTTGCATTGAACTTTCAGCTTCGTAACTTTGAAGATATTGTTCATGATCAAACAGCAACATTACACACTAACTAACATTAAAAAAGTGAAATCGCAATCAACCACCCCTTTAATATACAATCTTTTCTAATATAGTCCTGGTCTAAAAACACTGCTGTCTAGTCTAAATCAGTGGCTCTCAACATTTCTACTTTC